TAAAAATTAAAAAGGAGTGTAGATAATAAAACAGGATGTGCAGAAAGTAAACGGAGTATAAATAGCAACAAACGAATGTCAATTTGTCCATTTGGGCCGGCCCAGATATCAACACAACAGCTTTATAATTCCAGTTATTTTGCCACGGTCTCTTTTCACTTCTTTGCTGCTGAAAAACCTAGGGTTAAGACTTCCTTGTTAGGTTTTCAACAGCTTTGTGCGCACAATGGTGAGTCTTATTTTTCGCACTAGATCTGAGATTGTTTCTTCAATATTCGCATTTCTATTTTCATTATCTAATCGTCTATGCATTTTTCCTCCTCTAAATGATGACCTATGAAACAAAGAAGAGAATGACGAAATTTTCCTTTCTTTTGATAACTGTGGTTCCTGAATTGTTTTGGTTTTAAACAAAGCTCAGACATTTTTCTTATAATTTTAGGTTTGATAGAACCTTTTTTTTTTTGTAGAAGAAGATTAAACAGTTAGATATAATTTATATGTATATTGTACTTTGATTGAAATTTGCTTCTCTGCTTTTGTGTTTGAATAGGTTCTTCAAAACGATATTGATTTGCTGAATCCTCCCGCTGAGTTGGAGAAGAAAAAGCACAAGCTCAAGCGTCTTGTTCAGTCACCAAATTCTTTTTTTATGGTACAGAATCTCTTATTATTATTTGAAATCGAAAATGTTATTGATTTTTTTATTTATAAAAAAAAAGCTGTTAGTAAACTTTAGATGATTTGTTACAGGATGTCAAGTGCCAAGGCTGCTTCAACATGTAAGTAGGACCTTTTTTTATTTTAAAAAAATTTGATCATAATGATATATGAATAAGTGATGTGAATATGGCTATGCAGAACAACTGTGTTTAGCCACTCTCAGACAGTTGTGGTATGTGGCAACTGCCAGACTGTGTTGTGCCAACCAACAGGTGGAAGAGCCAGGTTAACTGAAGGGTGCTCATTTAGGAAGAAGGGAGATTGAATGGTGCAGTAATCAAACTTTTCTTTATCCATGGTCAAGAGTTTTGGTGGTTAGAGTTTTTATATGAAATCATGCTGTGTTAATTTTTGTTAAATTGTAACGATATTAACTCTATTTCCTTATTCAATGGTTTAGTTGGGTTATTCGATTTTGCAATGAATAGCATGAATTTATTTGTTATGGGCATTTTGAATTATAATACCATTAAAGTAATTTTGACAAAATTTCTTTGATTATATCTGCTTTAGTTAGTAATCGGAATTGAGAACTTCTTGGTGTATTAGTCTTTATTATTCTTTGGTAGAAAAATTTCTATATATCTTTTGTGGTTGTACTTTTTAGTCTGTCAATTATCATCACAATTATGTGCTTAGTTTCTCTTAACATTTTACTAAAAAGAACTCAATTCTACAAAAACATGATCGCTGGGTTGTTTTTATAGTTATGTTGCTTTATCTCAGCTAAAGAAATAATAGCTTTTTATATTTAAA